CATGTGGTGCCAACTGAGCTTGATGTGCCCCACGGCCATGGCCCCCAGCCCACAGGCTCAGCCACTCCCTGCCTCAAGGTACTTAGCTGTGGCTAAGAAGTTATCCTAACTTTGCCTCCTGTTAGGTTTAAACTGCATGTGGACATTTTTATAGCGCATACAGATGTATATGTGGGAATATCACCTGCCAAACTGATGTATGGTCGTGGGCATATTCCTATTCACCTATCCATACCTGATATTCTTTTCTGTCTGTCTGTGTATCCATCTGTAGGTTAGTGTTTGCTGTTACTGATAGAACAGTATTGTGTATGCAATCATATTTGCCTTTATTGTCTGTACCTTTCGTGCACTTCTCTGTGTCTTCCTTTTCCTTAATGGCATTGTGCTAGCCATGCTTTTATTATATTGTGTTTCCCTTCACGCCTGTCAAACCTGTCTCTTAACTGTCTATCTAATTCCTCTCTCTTCATCTTCCCTTGTCTTCCCATTCCTGGCAACCAACAAAGAAAATTCCCTTCCCTGTGGAAACCTTTCCTTGGCTTTTTTATAATAATGAACTCATACAGTATTTGTCCCTCTGTGATTGACTTCTTTCACTCAGTATAATGTCCTCCAAGTTCATCCATATTATGAGGTGATTTGCTGATTCTTCATTATTCTTTAATGTTGCATAGTATTCCATTTTGTGTTTGTACCATGGTTTAGTCATCTATTCATCTGTTGATGGCCACTTAGGTTGTTTCCATCTCTTTGCTATAGTGAATTGTGCTGCAGTGAACATGGGTCCGTATATCTATTTGTGTCTCAAACAGCTGTCCCTGGTGAGTTATTTCTAAAAGATCACAGCCACTGAAAACCCTGCAAAACACAGCTCTGCTCTGACACATGTGGGGTGGCTACTTTGCTGGATCTTTCAATCAGTTCCAGAAGTTTTCTTGCTGAGTCTCTTGTATAGGATCATGTTATCTGCAGATAGATATCATTTTACCTCTTCTTTGCCAATTTGGGTGCCTTTTATTTCTCTTTCTTGCCTTATTGCCCAGCCTAGAAGACTGGGCAATCTGCTTTTGTAGAGATACCACCTTGGAAACCAGATGAGGGGTCACTATGAGTCGAACCGACTCGATGGCAGTGAGTTTGGATTTTTGGTTTGAGGACTTCCAATACAATGGTGAATAGAAGTGGTGATAGAGGGCATTCTTGCCTGGCTCCCATTCACAAGGGGATTGCTTTGAGTCTCTCTTCATTGCAAATGATGTTGGCTGTTGGTTTTGTGTATGTGCCTTTTGGGGCAGTTCTGCCCTGTCTCACAGGGTCACTATAAGTGACAATCAACTTGACAACAGTGGGATTTTTGGTTTAAGTTTGAAACCATGCCATGAATAGAGCTTCGTGGCTTTCTCACCTTTACTATTGTGGCTTCATATTTTACTATTCCCTCACGTAACGGTCAATATTACCATGAATCAGTTAATGAAGTAAAGCAATATCAAGCATCAAGAAGTAGCTAGAC